AAATTGAGTACTGAAGTAACGTTTTGAGTTGATTCAAATGAAGTTGTTTCCAAGGAATTTCGCGTAACTCTTAGTATTGTTTCTGTTTTAAATTCATTGGCGAATTCCATGTGGTGAAGAAGAGTTTGGTGCGGTGGGAAAGTCCATGTAATATAGGTCAAGTTGTGATTTAAAGCAGTGAAAGAGGATGAAGTCGTGTTTATATAAACGGCATTTGTATGCTATCAGATGTTAGGCAGATGTGGACAAGATAAAAAACGCACATAGAATGACCGTAAAAGGCGTATAATTGTTGTAATTCATTGTTTATACGATGCACATTTGTCTTGTACAAACGTGTATCATAACATTACAATGCAGTATGATGTATCAAATAGAATCGATATATCGTTGAGTTTGATACAATTTACCTTTTAAATAATCTATAGGTTGATTGGTATATGTTGTCGGGTGTTATTTACATAGTATTGTATCTATTCAATCAGCTATTCGTGTTCGTTAGTTTGCAAGGTTTCAAATTTCATCGTGGTGAAATTAATTCTTGCTTGTAACGTGTTTTTATTAATTCATCGTGTCGTGCGCTTGCTATTATTTACTTTTACCGTGTCTTGAAGTTCGAGAGTCTATTTGATACTAAGCAGCAATTGAACAATTAAGTAACCTTGTCTCTTATTCATTCATATCGTTTCAATCCGTTCAATTTTTTTAGTGTTGCTTTTCGAGAAATGTTTCGAGTTGTAGTCAAATCATGTCTGTTGAGTATTATAATACAAATAAAAGACATTTTATGATAGTTCTTGGGCATTAGATATTGGAACGTTAAATCTTTGAATCATTTAGGCTTGAATTCTGGATTCCACAATATTTTGAATTGTTTTCGCTAGTACTAATGGCCGCATTTTCATTAATCACTGATGTCCTAAGCTTACGTGATCTAAGTTACATTGTAGAATTTGTGGTTGCTGCTTGCCTTGATTTTGTGAACGTTTACATTCTTAACTGTGAATATAGTTTGCTTGAATTATCATACATTTCTTACAAACATGGTGTTGAAATAAGCGAGCGTGATCTTCTTGCAAACATCAAAATTTCGCATTATTTCAGCCAACATCGAGCTCGTCGCCTCTTCGTGTGCCTCAATTTTCCGTATGGTGTTTAGTACATATTCAGTGGGTTGATTCTTGTTGTTACTGCTGTTGTTGTGCATTCGTGGAACACGATATCAAACGANNNNCACATGCTTGTATCATAAAGTGTTACAAAATCACTGTACAAAGCGTTTGATTGCCATTTTTGGTCACTGAACAGGGAGTAAGGATCCTGATAAGCGCCTACCTGCACACAGACACATTCTTAGGCAATACGCTTAAGAAATTGTTATCACTTCAGATAGCAACGTTAGCTATTCGACTGCTGTCAGCTATTCGGCTTCATACCATCAGTATTTGAAAAATCTCAGTCGATTGTGGTGCAAACAATTTATGAGTTTATGACTCACCTGTAACATTCTTACTAACAAAGCACTCGAACAGTCCTTATCACTCTATATAGAACGTGATTACTCGCAATTTTATCATTGCTCTGCATCCGCTCTTACGAAACTTAAACTCTGTCATTCGTAAATTGATTTACTGCTAAAGAGTGCTGCTTCTGCTGCCATCGTCACAAAAATACCTTCAGGACACGTAATTGATCAACCCATCAACTTATTGTTCTTCGACTCTATACCCTCATTTGCAATACTGTCAAAGTTGTGTGCCCTCAGGCCCTTTGCATTGATTATTCATCATCATTCGCGTCTTTTCATTCTCTCTTCACTCATCTCGATATACTGCCAATTTGAGGTTTGTTAAGTGGTGCCTTGAACGCTGTTAACATAACTCAGTTATTATTATTACTGTCATTCGTCTAATTGCATTCGCATCAATTCATTATTAACTGATCCTATTGGTCTTCATTATTTCCTGTGTTATTATTGTTGTTGTTGCGTACGTTTGCTGATTCTGAAGCAAAAACAACAACGCAAAAATAACCAAACAAGTGTTACTCTTGAAATTTGTCGAGAACGAGAAAGGACTGAAACAGTAATTGGGTTATTGCTAAACCCTACTGCTGACTGACAACAACGAAAAATCAATCAATCGACGATCGATCCCAGTGTGTGTGTCAAAGCTGAAAGCCTAAGCTGAAACCTAAAATTGAATATATATTCAAGCAATCAGATAAGATAGTGTATCTGATCGGTGACTGTTGTATTGATATTTAGCCGTTGGATTACGAAGATCCAAACCAACGTCAAGGGTTCAGCGTTGGTGTACGAGTCTATGATGGTCGTTATTACGCCACAACACGATTGCGTATCCGATTGGAAGACCGGAACGACAACGCACCGGTGTTGTCCGGACCACAACGAGCGCAGGTCTACGAGGATGCGAAAAGGGGCACCGTTGTCGCCAAATTCAAAGTTTACGACGCAGACGCAAATGATACCACAACGTGAGTCATCATCTGCCGCTATTCACTGTTCTCAGTGTTTGTATGATCATAGTCCTTGTTATGGGGGCGACCAGCTGAATGATTCAGTAGAACGTTCCGTCGTGAACTACGACAATGGTGACAACGATTCACTACACACTGATGCTAGTGGTAGGTTGATGCTAGGCTTTCAGCAAGTAGATTCTTGTGCACATCATTTGGGGTGTTCATGTGAAGCTGAGGTGGTTGATTCTATGGATTCTTCATCGTTGCAAGATGACTTCAAGATCTGTACTCTTCATTCATCGCCTAACAAATTCTCTACTGCCCAGCTAGCCACATCGACTGATTCTGATTCAGAATCGTATTCAAACGCCGCCATATCACCAAGACCATATACCACCTCGAATTCGCATCGCTATCGTAGAAATAATAAGCTACTATTCACTACGTTTCCACTGTGTTTTGTGTTCTTCGCATTCGTGCTTTTCACTGATGGTTTGGGGGGGAACAAACTGCTTGACTTTGGGGCTACTGCCGAGGAGTTTTCACTGCCATTCGTGGGTGCACAATTCAGTGGGCAATCAAGGTTCATGAGTTATGCGGGTAAATCGCAGCGTGATATCATCGTTACGTTCATTAAAAACATAAGTGAAGATACACCTGTCGGGGAGTTACTTGCCACCTTTAAAGCTGAGGATAAACTTTCACCAACCTATAATCTAACGTAAGTTTTTCTTTGCTTTGCATTTGCTTTTCGTTTTGCGCTTTTCTCCTTTGTTTTTGCATTCAATTCTTCATTTGCTTGATGTTTTATTAGTGATACTTTCTGTTATTGGTCATTCTCGGAATTTTCTGAATACTGCATTTGTATTTTGTATTCTTTCAATGATTCCGCTTGATTGCTTGAATTTTCCATGTGCGTGCTCTAGTGCGCCGAGTAAGTGAACTCTAGTGGAAGACACCAATTTTTTGGTTGGATGAATAAAATTGACCTAACTTCTGCGAAAATTGCACAAGTGGATAGGTCGTGTGAATGAATGAATTACTGATCAATTATTATGGTTATGATCACGTATTGTTTCTATTATTCTTGCATTGATCGATGACATTAAGATTGTGCAAATCCCTATTCCGTGAACTGCTACCTACACCTGCGTAACCTCTAAATAAGCCAGAATTGAAGCCTTAGCCTAGTGAAGAATATAAACCAAAAGGGTTTCAAATTTGTTTAGTTTTCTTCACTTCTATCTCAATTCCAGCCATCTTCACATCTGTTTGTAACCGCTCATAATAGTGATGAAGCGTACAGTATTAGTAAAAGCACTAAGAATTTGAGTCGTAAAAAATTCTCTCACACCATTCAGCTGCGTAATCGTAACGGTATTTGAGCGCGTTTCTCAGCCAATATATTTGTATATATTTGGACGTATTTGTGAAGAATTATGAATGAATATGATAGTGTCAGAACTATAAGAAAATCTCTTTCTTTCGAATACGTGTTGTGAATTTGTAAGCAAGAAAAGAAGAAGGCTGGTAAGGCGTATTGGTGTAAGGTCTTCTGAATCAATCGAACAGCATTAGGTTGATTTGAATAAAGGGTAGAGCTTTCGTATAGGTTTACTTTTACAGAGACTCAATGAAAGAGTTTATGAGTTTTCGTTTGTTTAAGCAGATGAATGAATTAAGGATATAAATGAACATTTATAAGCTTGTATGAAGAAGAAGTGTTGTATCATTTTCTGAAAACAAACTTTCAATTTCATAGTGTAGTCTCATTAAGAGTAGTCTTAATAAGGAATACAATAGTAAAGCAAGTAATAATAATGAAGAAAATAGCTATTGAAGTAAATAGAGACTGGAATGGATGAGTGGGAACTAACACCGTCGTGAGTGTATTCTCGGTAAATGTTGACCTCTCGCACGTTGTTGTTGATATTGATTCACTAAACAAACATATTCCTTCAGTGCAACACAACACCTTTATTCTAAATCATCCTCTCAAGCAGATAAAAGAAATCACGAATCTTTCCTCTGATTTGCCGATGTTTTGATTTTGCTTTGGTTTCGAAATTTCTGGGAAAATGAAATCTAACACCGTAAGCTTATTGTTTGACTCATAGGTGATTCACGTCTTTCTTCTGTCAGTCATCTTTGAGTTGCTTCCATCCGGTGTAAACAACTTCCGTCCCGTTCCGTTCATGAGAATTTGCGCTGTAGTCAGTGACGGACGGAATAATTGATGAGTGCAATGTGCATGAGGAGAAGGAGGAATATGTGAGTAAAACAATGAATACAGTATCATAGAAACAAGAATATCGTAAGCAAAAAATTG